CTACCAGTCTCTGGGTATGCCATCCAATTCCACTTCCTGCCTAAGCCATGATATTCTAGGAGTTGAGCTGTCCAAGATCTTGGTCTTGAAGTTTCACCATGGGAAAAACAACATTGAACTATTCCCCTCTGGTTCCACCTTGTTTCTGTAGTCTTCTGACCCCTTTCCCTATAGCATTGGCTGGAGCCAGGAAGTGGTCGCCTGGCCCGTCAGATAATGGCTGTAGCATGTGGTGGGCTAGATTGGCTCCCTTTCTGTGCTTTCCAGCTGGGAAGGAAATCAAACTTCTGCTGTGCTGGGTATTAACTACCTTTGTCCCCTGGAGTTTAATTAACCCTTGCTCTGCGTTGACCGATGACGATGAAGCATTCTGAGAATGCTCTGTGGGCCCAGTGACATGAACTGCTATCTCTCTGATGTCTGCAGCTTGACTCCAGACCACATCGTCTTTATCTCTGGGCAGTAGAGCCTGCTCTAGCGGGCAAGCTAGTGTGGCACGCACGCGGGTTGAACGGTATTCAAACCGCTTTCATCGTCTCCTCAGCCTTTTGCATGAGGCTTTTAAGATTCTTAGCAAAGGAACTCATGACTACTGAGTCTTGAAACTAACTGGACTATATTAAACATGGTTTTACGTAGCCTCTTCTCCCCAGTTATCGCAAGCTTAGCATGTGGACATCAAAAATGGAAATTCATTTGTTTATTTTCAAGATCCTTTGGGATCCATGCCTTTTTTTTTTTGATAGCACTTACATTACATCCTTAAAGAGAGAGGGCATTAAAAATATATGTACTAGTAAAAATGAGTAGGTAAAATATAACTTCAAACTTTAAAATAAAGGTATTCCATTTTGGAAAAACAAATCATAATGATGAAGATGTTGAAATATGGAAGCTCTAAAATAAAATTCAACTTGGCGATTCTCTTGAAAGGAGTCAACCTCATTCTGGGAGACTTTATTTCAAATTTTTTATATAAACACATTCACAGATCCATACATCTATATTTATCTATCTCATCTATCTCTATCTATCTATCTATCTATCTATCTATCTATCTATCTATCTATCTATCTATCTATCTATCTATCTATATCATCTACCTACCTACCTACCTACCTACCTACCTACCTACCTACCTACCTACCATCTATCATCTCGCATCTATGTCTGCTTGTCTACTTTCCTATCTGTATCCCTCTTCCTATGCCTCTCTGGAGCATATTTCGTAGCATATTCTTGGGCCCAGATGTCTATCCGCGGACCAACCTGTGAGAGTGCCTTTGCCTGCTCAGAGGCATGATTCCCAACCATTCATCACTCGTGAGAGTTTATGAACCTGAAGGATGACCAAGCTTTGCTACGGCTACTAACTGATGATATTCAATGTTCTTCTAGATTACAGGTCTCCATTCATTGCTTCTGTTAACGACGAGCATGGGGTCATCGTCACGGAGAACAAAAACAAAACTGTGGTCGTTCCATGTCTTGGGTCCATCTCAAACCTGAACGTGTCACTTTGTGCTGTAAGTTCTATCTTCTTCAATCATCTCCTCTCCCCTTTGATCGAGTAGATTCCGACTCGACTCGTCATGACTCTGTAGGACAGAGTGAATCTCTGCAGAAGACTGCCACGGCTTTCTCCTGAGAAGCGGCTGGTGGGTTCGAACCACGGACCCCGAGTGCTTTCACCGCAGTGCAACCAGGACTCCTTTAATCATCGCTTCAGTGTTCATAATGTAAAACTAACATCAAGAAGGACAGCCTGATCGCATCATATCAACAGCGAGTTTTAGTTTCTTTTTTTTTTTTAGGAAGGGTCAAAATAGGCATTCTCCCAAGGAAAAGCGATTGCTATTCTTAGAAGTAAGATGTGTTAGTGATCAGCTAACATGGGACCCAGTTTAGAAAACATGTAACTGTATTTATTTCTTTTTACTACCTAGAAGTACCCGGAAAAGAGGTTTTTCCCCGATGGACACAGAATTTTCTGGGACAGCAAGAAAGGCTTCACTATCCCCAGTTCTATGATCAGCTTTGCTGGCATGGTTTTCTGTGAAGCCAAAATTAATGAGGAAACCTACCAGTCTATCATATACATAGTGGCGGTCTTAGGTAAGAGAACCAGTCTATTGCCGTTTCTATCAGACCATAAGGATCAGCTTCCTGTTTTAAGATCCTGGGGATTAAGGTATGGGGTGAATGACAAGGGCTCTTTAACTAACGGACGCAGTCATGATCTTTAGCCAGCACACTCATCACCCGGCATTGGGGAATTCATTCTATCTACTTGTCTCTTCCAAGGAAACTCACGTGCCGTTGAGTTTTTCCTTTGCTTGGCAAGTGCAGGGATGAAAGGGAATTCTGTAACATGGCCACATTTTTGTGGAAAAATAAAATCAATGTTTATTGCATTGCTTGGCAGGGATCTGAGAGGAAAAATCATCCCTCTTTTCTGTAACATTCAACTATTTACAAAAGCATTACCCATTGGCCCAGAGCTATTGGCCACTCTACCATTATTACCTTTCCATCCGCTGGACTGCAGCATCCTGGAGCCTTGGAGGCAGAGTTCCATAAATGTCTGTAGGGGGTTTTCTTGGGAGTTTCCAGGGAAAAATAATAAGGTGCATTTTAAAGTCACATAATTAAAATACAAACAAAAAGTGTCAAGTTAGAGATTTGTTTTCCCGTTCATGTTGTTTTTCTCCTTTGCTTGCTCCAGGGTCCAAGATTTATGATGTTGTTCTCAGTCCCCCGCATGGAGTTGAGCTGTCTGTTGGAGAGAAGCTTGCCCTCAATTGTACAGTCAGGACCGAACTGAACGTGGCGATTGAGTTCAAGTGGGAACATCCTCACTTGAAGGTAACACTAACAATTCAGAGCCAGCCCCCTCAATGCTTTGATAATAAACTCGCAGAGACATATGCTGAGGTGGGGGCTGCTCTGGCCAGATAAAAGATGCTGCTATTGTAAGCTGCTGTCAAGTCAGCCCCTGATTTATGGTGGTCCCGAACACAACAGATCAAAATGCTGCCCAATCCCACCCCATCCTCCTGATTGGTCACAGGACTGGGCCATTGGATGTTCATTGGTTGTTTTTTAGAAGTGGCTTGCCAGGCCGTTCTTCCTAGTGCCTCTTTAGTCTGAAAGCTCCCCCTGCCCAGCTGAAACCTGTTCAGTATCCTCACACTGTTTAAGCAGCTGCTGATAGATGGGTGGTGGCTCTGCATGAGGTCCATCGACTCAGAAGTGAACCTGGGTCTCCCACACGGATAATGGGAATTCTACCACTGAGCCACCAGTGCCCTCAGGTAACATGTGATTGTGTGCCATTGAGTCAATTCCACCTCTTAACAACCTATGCTGCTAGGTGCCATCTAGTCAGTTCCAACTCATAGAGACCCTGTGGACACCAGAAGAAAACACTACCCAGCCCTGCACCATCCTCACAGGTGTTCTTAAATCCCAGCCTACCTTTGCAGCCACTGTCTCCAGCCGTCTTGTTGAGGGTCTTTTCCATTGCTCCTCGCTTTTACCAAGAATTATGTCCTTTTCCGGGGACTGGTCTCTCCTGACCACACGTCCAAAGTCCATGAGGAATCTTGTCCTCCTTGCTCTGAGAAGCACTCTGGCTGTACTTCTTCCAAGACAGAATGGTTCGTTCTCTTGGCAGTCCATGGTACTTTCATGGTCCTTCACCAGCACTGTTAATTCAGAGGCCTGCCTTCTTCTTCGGTCTTCCTTACTCAGTGTTCAACTTTCATATGCATGGGAGGCAATTGAAAATGCCATGTCTTGGGTCAGGCACACCTTAGTCCTCAAAGTTACATCCTTGCTTTGCAACCCTTTAAAGAGGTCTTGTGCAGCAGATTTCCCTCATGCCCTGCATCATGTGATCCTTTGACTGCTGCTTCCAGAAGCATTTATGGTGGAGCCAAGCAAGATGCACAGAAGGACCTTCACACCTTAAGGGATTGAAGAACGTACAGCACTGTGGAGCCGGATAGGCTAGCCCAGAACTCTGTGCCCCTCTGCTACAGGGAGCCCAGCGCCATTGGCTTTCTCCGAGCACGTCTTTGTTTGCAGGTTATCCTCTTGTTCTCTCAAATCCTTGACCCTGTGGTAGAATTGGAACAGTGGCCGTCTTTCTTTGTGTCTGAGGTTCATATCTGCCTTATTCTCACTAGGTGAGGTGTTTCGAGAATCCCGAGTCCTCGGGTCCCATTAATTTTTCCTGACATCAAACATGTGGTGCTTTGGGTGTCAAGGAAGCTTACTGGGTAATGTGATGGGGGCCTGGCTTCGGAAGTGGATGACACTCCCTCTCTCTCTCCTCTTTCCTTCCCCAGCATAGGAAACATCTGAAACGGGACTCAAAACCTCAGTTTGAGAATCAGATGAAGAAATTTGTGAGCACCCTGACCCTAGACAGTGTCACCCGGAGTGATCAAGGCTGGTACAGCTGTGCAGCATCCAGCGGGCTGATGACCAAAAAGAACAGCACATTTGTCAGGGTCCACGGTAAGCTCAGACCTCCTTGGGGCTGGGGCTGGGCCCTGGAAAGTGAGATTATTTAAATTCTCTCAGACCCTATAGGGATTCCTGTGTGTTCATTTCACTGGGGCCTCTGAGTTCTTGTTAAGGAAGGCCACATGACCTACAGAGCAAGAGCCTAACTCTCAAGAGCCTCTGAGAGACTGGGTTCGAATCCCAGCTCTTAACTGTGAAGTGGCATTACATGCTCACCAGGTATTAGTTATCATTGTTTCTATTATTGTTATTACTCCAATATTTAAGGCAGCTTTTTAAAAAGTGTTGGATTGCAAAGCTAAGAGATCTGCTGGAATGAGCAGGGATTACCTGCTGAAGGGCTGGGAGAGAACATCTTCTCTTTCTTATTTACTCTCTTCCATGATCATAAATGTCGTGCTTTGAGTGAGAATGTAAATAGCCCCGATTTACGTGGCAAGGATCTTAGGTTTTATAGCATGAGGCAGCTTTGGAGGGTTTTGAGCAGAAAGAGACATGCTCTACGTCAGTGTCTCTAGGCATGCTCTGTTTGTGATAAGAATATCAATTTTAGGGAAGGAAGAGCAGAATTAGGGAAGCTAGCTAGAAGGGTAGAAGGGGCCCTAGCGGCATAGAGGTTGCACATTGGACTACTAACTTCAAGGTCAGCAACTTCAAATCCACCAACTGTTCTGCAGGAGAAAAACGAGGCTTTCTTGTCCTGTGAAGATGTAGGTAGAGTCTCAGAAACCCACAGGGATAGTTTGACTCTGCCCTGCAGAGTTGCTATGCGTTAGAATCGACTCAAATGTCAGCGAATGAGACATGAAGGGTGTGTGTGTAAACTAGGAGAGTCGTTGCAATATTCTAGGTGTGGGGTAGTGAATGACTTGGATAGAGGGCAGAGGTGGTGTAAAGTGATCTGATCTGGGTGTATTTTGAAGGTAGAGCTAACAGAATCTGCAGTGGACTCATTAGCTCTGGGTGTCAGAGAAAGACCAGAATCAAGGGGGAGTCTACTCAGAGAGAAAAAGCAAATGCAAAGATTGGATGGGTGGAAGAAGCTGGAATGTGACCTATAAGAAGGCAGTAGGGAGAGAAAGAAAATGACGGCAACAAATGTACAAATGTGCTTGACACAATGGATGGATAAGAATTGTACAAGCCCCCAATAAAATGTTTTTTTTAAAAAAGAAGGCAGTGGGAGGAATGCCTGAATTGCAATAACTCAGAACCCCCAAATATTTGCCATGTTAATTGAAATGAAAAGCTAAGCCCCAATCCATTGTTGCTATAAATCAGCATGTAGGAGAATCATTATTTTTTTTTTCTATTTTGCAGAAAAACCGTTTGTTGCTTTTCTCAGCGGCATGGAGTCTCTGGTAGAAGCCACAGTGGGAGAGCGAGTCCGGATCCCCGTGAAGTCTCTAGGTTACCCACCCCCTGAAATAACATGGTAACCACTGGGAATAGATTATGCAAACCATTGTTTCATACGAAGGCACGTTTTTAGATTGTGTAATCTTCTGGGATTTCTCCCCCCCACCCCCAGGTATAAAAATGGAAGGCTCCTTGAGTCCAATCACACAATCAAAGTGGGGCATGTGTTGACGATGATGGAAGTGAGTGAAAAAGATACGGGCAATTACACTGTCATTCTCACCAATCCCGTGTCAAAGGAGAAGCAGAGCCACATGGTATCTCTGGTTGTGAACGGTGAGTCCATTCCATTTCCCTCCTCTGCCCAGAATGTATTATGATGAGTATGCTTACGTCCTCCTACATAAGCCACCCTTCCATTGTCACCCACTGCTTCCTCCCCATCCTGGGCGGGTCACCTACGTATGGCAATGGTCTAGAGCGCTGCGGGAGTTGGGATGAGGGGCATGGATGGGTTTGCCTGGGATTCCTTTGAGTGAGCTCTGTGGTGGTCTGATAGAACATTCGAGCTGATGGTGTACTGAAGTAAGAGTGCCTGCAGGGGCACTTGTCAAGCCCAAGGGACACTGCCTCTGCTCTGGGTCACGGCATCGTGCACCTGGCATGCAGATGTGCGGGAGGAAGAAGCCCGGCTCTTCTGCAGTGAAACGCTACTCATTTAGCGTTGTAGTTGATATGTCACTGATCACAGCAGCTAGGCAAGTTCCCCTCAGAAGGCTTGTAAGGGTCAGCGATAGCTATCATTTTTGTATGTGTCCAAAGTTAGGCATCTGATTCTGAGTTTATAAAGGGAAGATCTTAAGCTTTATTTTCATTTAAGAACCGTTTAAAATCCCCCCTCCCCTGCCCCCAACTGAAAGACAACACTATGTGTCATTGGAGGACTAAAGCGTGGTCAAGTAAGCAGGGGAGGTGTTGGTTTATTGGAAGGCGGTTTCTTTTCCCTTGGCGGGGAGGGGGGATGGGCCGGGAGTGGTGACTCTGGACTCCCAGGGTTTAGCCAACTTACTTGACCAGAGCCCTTTTCCACCCCCTTTCCCCCAAAGATGTTGATTAATAATCTTGTTCCAAACACAGTTTTGAGACTTTTCTCTGCTGCCATTCTTTGTTCTTCCTACGGGGGCAGCATTATAAAACTACAGGATCCTCTCTTATGGATCCTCTCTTATGGGTGTTTAGATTGTGTAATCTTCTGGGATTTCTCCCGTTCCTCAGGATCCTCAGGATCCTCTCTTATGGGTGTTTTTCCCATGCTGCCTGAGTCCCTGTATGGCACAAATGGTTACCGTGCTTGGTTGCCAACCTAAGAGGTGGTGGTTGAGGTTACCCAGGAACTCCTGGACAGCCAAGTCCGAGATCTACCACCCTTCCCCTCTGGGGCACAGTTCTCTGACACATGAATCAACTAGAGTTAACTTATTAGTAACTGATTTCCTATGCTTCCTGCTACGACCCCCTCCTCCCCGCCCCCTGTGTATCCACTGAACTGGATTTGACTTTTTTTGTTGGTAAATTGGCTCCAAAGAATGTTTTATAGAGAAACTGGTTTTAGAAACTTTTCCTTCCCAGGAGGGCAGGAGTAGGGTATTGGGGAAGAGAGAGACACTGGAAAGGTAGTAGGTAGGATGCGAGGAAGGGCAGAAAGAAGAAAGGAAGGCATGAGAAATGGCCAATGAATAACCTATCTCATTAATTCGTGAAGCCACCAAACATTTGATTTGCTCTAGCATTTACCCTGGGGGCTTTCAAAAAAAATGCAGGGAACATTCCGTTAGCTTGAAATTCCATTCTGCCCCCCTCCCATGAACTTTAGGATGTTCCCTTGTGCGAAACAAACCTAAAACGCCAGTTTAACTTCTGACAGCAGAACCCGAGGCTCGAGATCAGAGTGATGAGGACGCGTGGTTACTCGGGGCCACTGGGCTGAACTCACGATGGCCCCAGATGCCCAGTTGAGCTGCTCCGTAGGGGTTTCTTGGTTAGCAGCTCTCTGGAAACAAATTGCCAGGACCTGCGGGGTGGGGTGGCTTCACGCTGCCACGCCGGAGTGCTAACTGTGTGCACCCCCAGGCCTCCTCAATAAGAAAACCATTTCAAATGAATGATGTTGGAGGCAAAAACGAGGAAGGAAAGACCGTCGGCCATGGCTAGGACTCGTTTCCTCATGCTCCGGGTTTCCTGCAGCCTGTACTGGTTTCCTTTTTGTTCAGAAGTGAGAGCGGCCGGCTTTGTTTCTGGTCTTCCCACCTGGGAAGTGGTGATCCTGGACAAGTCGTTGTACTTTTCGTGGTTTCGTTCTTCTCTCCCCTAAAATGAGGAGAGAATAATAGTGGTGGCGAGGATTTCATGAATCACTCGATATAAAGCATGGAGAACAGTGCTGGGCACCCTCGTAAGGTATCGGTTAGCTATCGCTCTGTCCTCACTAGAGACTTGCCCCAGTCTCAGAGGATTGGGAGATTGGAGGAATTATCCTTAGGACGGACACAGAAAAGGAAAATTCCTAGACTTGCACAAAGTCACTCAGCTTTGGGAGCTGTCACTAGAATATCCAGGTGCTGTTGTTCTTTTGAAAGAAGGTGGGGGCAACATTCTAGGCCAACTTAACAAGACAAAGCCTCTGGCTTCCGTTACTGGAAACCTCGACTTTTCCCTTTCTCCGAGCTCGGTTTCTCAAATGATCAACTCAAAAGCTGTTTTCCTCCTCTCCAGTCCCACCCCAGATTGGTGAGAAATCCTTAGTCTCTCCTATGGATTACTACCAGTACGGCACCCTGCAGATGCTGACGTGCACAGTCTACGCCGTTCCTCCCCCGCGCCACGTCCAGTGGTATTGGCAGTTGGAGGAAGAATGCACCTCCAACCACACGTGAGTAGGGCCCCGGGTTCAACGATGCTATGCCTTTACCCGCCCTGTCGCCCCACTCTGAGATGACTGCAGTCGACGCCAGAAGTTTCTCCTCGGAGAACCTTCTCTCTCCAGAGAACGTCTTCCCTTCCTTTCATCTTCCTCTGCATCTAAACTGACAGGACGTGCTTTTGCCTTTGGATAACCCACTTTTTGGATTCTGCTTCATAGATCTTCTTAGATTTGCGCCGATGTGTCCCTTGCCACGTGTGTGCTTTTTGCTTAGTTTGTGAATTGCCACATCTTTGGATTGTCTCTTTATACCAGTCAATGGGTAACCAGCCACCAACCCCCTCCCTACCTTCCAGAAGGCCCATCTCTCCGAGGAAGCGCTGATGGGTGTGAGAGAGCAGGAGACTGAGCCCAGCCCTCAGAGTCGCAGGCCCCGCTTATCAGGTCAAGCCAAGTCCAGACATCCTTAGCAAAGCAAAACAAAAGAAAACCTAGCCACCCCAACCCACCCACCCACCACCACCCTAAGCATCCACTTCCTGTTGTTGTTTTTGAAATGGCAGCCCCCGGTTTCTTCCTCAGCTGTTTGATCATTTCCTACACAAAGGCCACAATCCCAGAGGCCTCACTTTAAGAAAGTCGTGGCACCTTAGTTTCCTCACCTTCCTTTGAGCTAAATTAACTTGAATTGTCTTGTCAGTCCAACTTATGAATGGAGATTTCTTCCCAGAATAGCTGCCTCCCCGTTCATCCTGAATGGACGGGCTCAGAAAGTTGTCCCACATTGCCGAGGTATGAACTCTTATAACATGGTCGCCCAATTCTAGGGACATCATAACCAAAGTTTGATTTGATTTGATTTTTTTAATGACTAACCTGAATTAAAGGAAAATCAGAACACGTTTTGTGATCTCTTTCTTCCAGTCAAGCTGCTGTAATGACAAAGCCATATGCTTGTAAAGAATGGAGAAACGTGGAGGACTTCCAGGGGGGAAATAAAATCGAAGTCACCAAAAACCAGTTTGCTCTAATTGACGGAAAAAACAAAGTGAGTCTGAATTCCTCACTCTGAAACCCACACCTTTCTCTCTCACTGAATGAAAGGCTGACACAATAACAAGCAAGGTGGCGTAGAGATCAACAAGCAAACTGATACTCAGAAAACCAGGATAAGAATTGTAGCATATTAAGCCAGATGGTAGACATCAAGTTTAGGAAGTAGAGTTGACTTATGTTTTTTAAATTTCTATTATGATGAATACATAATTAATGAAATATTGGTCATTTCAACATCACTCGTTCAATTCAGTGACATCAAAGGAGTCCATCATGGTGTTTAGTCATCGCTACCATTGACTTCTCAGTAGCTTGCTGGAAAAAAAGGACATGTATGCCACTGAATGCACACGTCTTGTTGTGAGGTGATTCTGATTTTATGTACATGAACATGAAAAAAGAGGTGTGTATGCCTGGTGTTGTGTTGAACCACGTGGTTTTCCAAAGCCCTTGTGTGCATGTGCGAGCCACACCAGCACAATTACAATTGCATCACTATAATGAGGTGGAGTTGGAGGATGGCTAGAGGAGGCAGGTGATAACAGTGGTGGAAACTGCTGACGTTCAGTTTGAATGTGTGTGCACAAACACAGCCTCTATTGTTTATGGCCTGGGCCTGTTCTTTTTTCCTCCCTTCCTCCCCCTTCAGACTGTAAGCACCCTTGTTATCCAAGCGGCCAACGTGTCAGCTTTGTACAAATGCGAAGCCAGCAACAAAGCCGGGCTGGGAGAGAGGGTCATCTCCTTCCACGTGACCAGTAAGTGCTCCTCGCTGGGTGGTTGGCACTTTCTCAGAGCCTTGTAGCCCTCACCATTAGAGTGAGTGTGGTGTTTAGGTGGAGGATGCTTTGGTGTGTGGTGTTTCACTCCCCCGGTTGCTCCTGGGCTTGTGGATATATCAGTTTCACCAGAGAGAGACGGTTCCGCACCGTCAGGCTCTGTCTTTCTATCTTCCTTACCTGAGTTGGTAGGCGTGCTGGTCACATTGGACTGCTGATGGCCGGTCGGCCGTTGGATAACACCAGTGGTCCCTCGGGAGTAAGATGAGGCATTCGACGTCCTACTCCCATTTCCGAAACCCGCAGAGGCAGTTCCTCTGCCCTGTCAGGTTGCTCCGAGTCGGAATCAACTGGATGGCAGTGCGTCAGTGGGCTTTCAGCGGTTGTGCCTCACGGTTGAGGATCACCTCTTGGGCTCCCCTGTGACAGCTGGGAATACTGAGTAGGTGGTGTGGTGGGCTGCTAACCTCAGAGTCAGGAGTTGGAGACCAGCAGCTGCTCTGCTGGAGAAAGAGGAGGCTTTCTGTTCTCAGAAAGAGCAACAGCCCCAGAAGCCCACAGGCACAGTTCTACTCTGTCCTGTAGGGTCACTGTGAGTCAGAATGGACTCCAGGGCCGTGCGTTTGGTTGATTGATTGATTTACTTCAGTTGATCAGAGTCTAGCCCTGTGCTCACCTGCAGAAAGGCTTCAGTAAGCGCTGGTGGGCTTGCTGCTGAAAAATGGCAGCGGGTGGGATTTCGAGGGGCACTTGTGATGACAAGAGAACAGTGCCTTTTCAGTGCTTTGATTTTGCCTTGGCACCTGCGTTGTGCGGAGTTTTTTCTTTGGGTTGAATGAACAGCACAGTTTAGTCCAGGCTACTTAGTAAGTGTAATGAGCGTAGCTCCAATGCCGGATGTGCTGACTTAGAGCTGCTTCCTGACATCTCATGGTGCCGAGACTCTGCTTTGGATATGTTTTTAAATCTAAAAAAATCATTGCTTGAGTGCCCGAAGTGGAGATTTGTTAAATGTCTGGGAAATTCAGGGCAAATGACACATTTGGAGACCCAAATTGTCTGCTTTGATTCTCTCCTGCATGACCTCATCTATGATTGCCCGCCCTTCCTTTCTCTTGGGCCACAAGCAAAGGACAGTTTTCTAACTATGCGTTTTCCATTTCAGGGGGTCCCGAAATTACTTTGCAACCTGGTGCCCAACCAACCGAGCAGGAGAGCGTGTCTTTGTGGTGCTCTGCAGATAGAACGACGTTTGAGAACCTCACATGGTACAGGCTTGGCCTGCAGGCCCTGCCCGTCCAAGTGGGAGCGTTGCCCACGTCGGTTTGCAAGAACTTGGATGCTCTTTGGAAAATGAATGCCACCATATTCTCTAACAGCACAAGTGACATTTTGATCTTGGAGCTCCAGAATGTATCCTTGAAGGATCAAGGGGACTACATCTGCTTTGCACAGGACAGAAAGACCAAGAAAAGACATTGTGTGGTCAAACAGCTCATGGTCCTAGGTAGGAAGTCAATTCTGAGTCACCATCTTGAGGCAACTGGAATGCCTTCACTGTAGTGCTTTCTGGCCTTTAGGAGCACACAGGGTAAACTGTCACATACTCTTGTTCACTGAGACTTGGAAGCAGGATGAAGTGATGTGTTACAGAGAGAAAATGAGGTGGCTCTAGTCTATATCCAAGTTTTATAGGAATAGCACCTTCCTCGTGGGCCTTGATACCTTTAGAGACTAGCATAGGGCTTGCTGGCTTTAAGACTTTAGATGCCACAAGGGATTTTTTTAGGGGGTGATGGTGAAGTTATCCCCAAAGCCCTCAAATCACTATTTATTTGTGACCGTGGTGGATGGTCTGGTTTCAAACTAAAGGAGGAAGAACTGAGAAAGCGAGGAAGGACACGTCTGGCTTTGCTCTGCCAGGAAAGATGTACCCCCATTTAGCTGGTTTTCTTCTTTAAGGACCCCCCAGCTGGTTCCTGAACATTGTTCTAAGGAATAGACTAAAGGCTAGCACATTCACGTCAGCCCCCGTGTGTGCACTGTCAAGGGCTCCTTACTTGGCAAATACTGGAACGGGACTCTCTCTGCACGATTCCTTTTGATGTGCAATTGCTTTGGGCAAGGTGTTTCCATAGCACATTGCCGATTTCCAGGAAAGGAGCGAATCTCAAGTTTGGCTGTACATTTGAAGGGATATTCAGGGGACTTTGTTTTCTTTAAATCCTTGACTTTCCTTCGGGTATCGCTGTTTGGCTGGTTTACTTGCATCTTAGTGGAAACAGCATTGGACTAATCTTTTAAGCTTACCACATTCTCAATTTGTTCCTGTTTATTTCTTTATAGAGACTTGCACATCTTGACTTGTTCCCTTGAACTGTAGCTATTTCTTCTAGGAAACAAGATTACTGCTCTTGTGCTAGTCATAAGTATTAGTAATAGTAATGGTATTACTAACAGTAATAGTACAAATGGGTAGCAGAAATAACATGAATTTTGTAGAAAGCAGGGTACAAGCGAATATAAAGTGATCCTTGTTTGAAATTTTGCACTTTCCAGGAGAAACGTGGTGTAGTGTGTAGGGTGTCACTGGCCAGAATTTTCATGGGGGGAGTTCCCTGGGGAAGCCATGCCTTTTCTGAGAAAGGTGGCCTGGCACCTTTATTTTAGCCTGTGGTCACCAGCTGGAATCATGGTCAAATGAGTGTCGGTTATGTCTATCTGTTCTGAGTTGCTTGGTTTTATTTAACTTAAAGTCAGTGACCCACAGTTATTAACATGTGTATTCTCAGCTTCGTAAATAATCAGCAGTTTGCTGATGTAATTGACTAAACAGTTGTCATTTCCTGTAATCATGTTCTAACTGGTTTTATCTAACTCTCTGTTTTTCGTTTTGCTGGACACAGAACGGATAGCACCTATGATCCCGGGAAACTTGGAGAATCAGACGACAAGTATTGGGGAAACCATTGAAGTTTCATGCACAGCGTCTGGGAATCCTCCGCCGCAGATTACCTGGTTTAAAGATAACGAAACGCTTGTAGAAGACTCAGGTGAATAGCACCCAGCACTCTCTTTGGTTGCGGGATGTCCCAGAGATATCTGAAACCTGGGTTATTCTTGATTTGTTTTCATTTGGGAGGGAAAAAAAGCAAAGAAATTAATGTACATGATCTGGATCATTTCATAGAAATGGACTTAGATTATTAGACCATCAAAAACCAAATTCACTGCTGTTGAGTTGATTGTGACTCATAGTGACCTTCAAGGACAGAGTAGAACTGCTCTTGCGAGTTTCCAAGGCTAACTCTTTACGGGAGTAGAAAGCCTCATCTTTCTCCCATGGAGCAGCTGGTGGCTTCGAACTGTAGACCTTGTGGTTAGCAGCCCAACTTATAACTCTACACCCCCAGGGCTGTAGAGAGTATGAGAAACTTGATTGAATTCCGAAAGACAGCTGCAGGAGACCCCAGGCTTTCCTATTCCCAGGATGCATGTGTTTATAATGAACTGGTTTTCCCCCTGAGGATCGCTAAGTTGATTTCCAAAAATTATTCTTAGAAGTAGGCTAGAGATCCTACATGGAAACCAGGGAAATTCAGTTGTTTCTGTAGGATGCTTCGAAGTTAGAGACTCATCCAAGATAAAGGGCAACATTTGCATTCAGTCATTCTTTTTGTGCAAACACTCCATCATCGTGCATAAGAATAAGCAGCTTCCTCCTCTCGCAGGCATCGTACTGAAGGATGGGAACCAGAACCTGACCATCCGCAGGGTCCGGAAGGAGGACGAAGGGCTGTATACCTGCCAGGCCTGCAACCCCCTTGGTTGTGCAAAAGCAGAGGCCTTTTTCATCATAGAAGGTCAGTGTGGCTTCATGGACACAACAGGCGGCGTTTCATTTGTTAAACAACATTTTCTTGTCCTCTAAGTCTACTTTTACCCCCAAACTAGGTTCCCCTCTAATGACTTGTGTACAACTCGCTCTGTGCCATTAGTCCCACCTTTGCTCTGTGCCCACAGTCTCACGCTGTCTGTCCGTTCTGTCTGTTCTATTTGGTGTAGCACCCCATCCCCCTTCCACTCACTCACGACCATTGAGTCGTTCCAACTCATCATCACCCTATGCTGTGGGACCAGGGTGGAACTGCCGCTGTGGGTTTCTGAGACTGTAACTCGTTAGGGGTGTGGGAAGCCTCGTCTTTCTTCCCAGGAGTAGCTGGAGGTTTTGAACTCCTGATCTTGTGGTTAGCAGCCCAATGTGTAACCCTCTCCCCCACTCGGTTTCCTCCCCTTCAGTAGACCTGAAAAACGCACTTGCATCTTAGATATGCCCATGTACTTTGGGTGGGAAGATTATGTGGTACGTCTATCTTCTTTGTACATCTTCTTCTTAACACATGCGCTATTTTAACCAGCTAGCATAATGAATATTCATTGAATTGTGCTCGGATGGCATTTCTGGCCCTACAGTTCTTATTGAAGCAGTATTCTTAGCTAAGCTAGCCGAATAATCTTTCCCTGAGCCTTGCTCATCTGAATGGCTCTCTTCTCACAGAATTGATGCCTTCTTATTTATTTGAAAACAACAACAAACACTTCAGAATTGCTGACAGACCATGGAAGACACTGCTACCCAGAGAGACTCAGCAGCTTGTAGTTTCCATTGGTCTAAAGATAATTAATATTCGTTGCGAACGATAAATCATTGCTTCTCCAAAATGGGGGTAAAAATAGGTTCTCTTCTCAATGTAAAAGAAAACATGCATGGGTCTGCAGCAGAGATAGGAAGTCTGCCAGTGTTCCAGACAGGTTAAGCAGTATAATCCCTGTGTCTTTATTGGTTAATTCTACTACCGCACCAGGGGAACCTGGGCTGTCTGCGCACACAGGTCGCCATGAATCAGAATTGACTCGCTAGCTGCTAGCAACAGGTCTACTCAGGTAGACAGCGGTATCTTTGCACTTTTCTCTCTAGGTATACAAGGATATTTATAAAGGGAGGAATTTTTTTTTTTTTTTGAGCATCCGCCAAAGGAATAAGTCCACTTCCAGGCATACTTGGCACTTGTCTCTCAACTGTTGACAGCTCTTATTTTGCTAACTAATTAATTATTTGTCTTTCTTCTGCCTTCTTGAGGCTGTCAAGGGCCACTCTCACAGCTTGTAATGGGGGTGTGGTCCTCCAGCATGCTCCTCTTCCCATGGGGAGATGCTAGGTGATAATTGCTTCCTTATCACCTCTTTGTTAATCACTCTTTGCTAAAAGCCTCCTCCAGAATTCAATTTCTCCCACTCAGAGCTGTCCTCTCCAACCCTGGATGTCAATAGCTTTGCTTACTGACCTTGAGCTTCTTTTCTTCATTTTCATTGGTAACTATTTTGCTGACCAAATGTGATAACCTCTGAGCTAACACTTTCTTTCTCTGCCTGACTTAGGCTCCTGCCACCCAACCCATGTGTAATGGGGTTGCCAATGTTGGATTTTGTTCAATAGTTGATCATATCAGTAACTTAACTGTGTGTCTTCACTCAAGTAGCTCAGCCTCTCTGAGCTTCAGTGTCTGCATTTCAAAGTTGAGGGCTGTGGAACGGATTAACTGAAGACTGATGAGCTCATACTAGATCCACGATCACCAATGGGCTGGCCAAAGGACTCCCTTCTATTTTTCAACCCTGTTTCTCAAACAACTTTTTTTTCTTCTCAAGCTTTACGCAGATCAAATCACAGATGCGTTAGTTTCCTAAGGCCACCGAAACAAGGGACCCACACAATGAGTGGCACATCCAGTGATTCCTAGGTTAGAAGGCTGACATCCAGGTGTTGGCAGGGCCATGCCCTCTCTGGAGTCGCCAGGGGGAAAGCCATTCTCTGAGTTTCCAGTTGTTGGCAGTCCTTGACATTTTTGCCTTGTAGATGTATCGCTCTGATCTCTGCCTCTGTCGGCTCATGGGCCGGTGTCTTTTTCTCTCCTTATCAGACCGCTGGTTGTCTCAGAGTAGGGCTCACTCCCATGACATCATCTTCCCTTGATGACACCTATGAACACCTGATTCCTCAAAAAGACCACATTCCCAGGTACCAGGGGTTAGGACCTCGACCTCTACACTTTTTGAGGTGGAGGGGTGAGCGAGGCACACCAGTCAATCCCTAACAACAGATTGCCAGGCTCAAAACCAAACCGTTCTTTTCCCAAATAGAAAGACTTTCCTTCTGTACTGGACCTTTTTTCCTTCCCTATTGTTGTTGTTGTTGTGAGGTATTGTTGAGTTGGTTCCACCTCACGGCGACCCCGTGCACAACAGAAGGAAACACTGCCTGGACCCGCGCCACCCTCACAGTGTTATGTTTGAGCCCATCACTGCAGGCACTGGCTCAGTGCATCTCAATCCTGTGGGATTCTGAGACTGTAATTCTTCCTGGGAGTAGAAAACCTTGCCTTTCATCATCGGATAAACTGTTCTGTTTTTCTACCGAAGAGTGCCCTTCCCCGGACACTTTTCCCCATTCTTGTCTTTCAAGATGTTAATAATTGTATCATGACGTGCCTCAGGATTTTACTGCTGGAAATTCTCATGAGAACTATTTTACCAGTTCTCAAGTGTTGCCACTAAGAATGTTGTAGATGTGATCCAAAAGAGGGGTTTGGGCCATTATTACCGTCTACGTTTTCTTGGTCTGCTTTTACAATTGGGAAGATTGAAGATAGTGCTTTAGTCTTGGACTGTGCCATCTTATGTCCCAAAACGTGCCTCCCCAACTCTTGATGCCCATTCGCTTGTGTCTTCCCAGGTGCCCAGGAAAAGACAAACCTGGAAGTCATTATCCTAGTAGGCACTGCGGTGATTGCCATGTTCTTCTGGCTGCTGCTTGTCATCGTTCTAAGGACCGTTAAACGGGTAACAAGAGCATTCCCTCCTGTCCCATGCATGTTGCGTTTCCTGATTAATGAAAACTGACTAGGGTTCTTTGAGTGGCTTCTGCCCATGATAATGGGGACATTTTTCTCTTTTCAGTGTGTTAACATTCTTGTTCACTTTCTCCTGGTGGGGCCACTGGATTTTAATTGAGAGCAACCACTAGAGAGGAAGGACTGTCCAGTATAATTAAGATTTAAGGACGTATTCTGAACTCATTGGGGGAATGAAGGGACGTTGGGAACAAGACTGTAATGGGGCTGCTCTCTGAGGCTCTGGATTTCATTAGAAAACGAGGCATTCGGAGGGAGGGTCCTCTAAGCATCAATAACACGCCCGAGAAACAGCAGCCAAACAACAGGTTGTGTGTGACGGGAAGGACCGATGTTTTCCAGGCCAATGGAGGGGAACTGAAGACAGGCTACTTGTCCATTGTCATGGATCCAGATGAGCTCCCCCTAGATGAGCGCTGTGAGCGCCTGCCTTATGATGCCAGCAAGTGGGAGTTTCCCAGAGACCGGCTGAAACTAGGTGGGTCTTCATGTCTTAGTACTTTAGTATTGGGTTTACCAGAACTTTGCATCCTCCTGTGGGATTAGGACAAAGCTAGTTTATTCAAAGGTCAGGTTTTCGTTTCAAAGTATATATTGCGTTTCTTGAATTTGAATAATCATCAGTTTAATCCCCTAGAAGTACGTGATGAATCACCTACAAGTATCCTAAATCCTATATAATTTGTCATCCAAGCATTGGCCTTTGGAGGATGAAATGATTAAGCTAAGACAAGGCAGTAGACGGTTGAAGTGGGATATATGTAGCTGAAGGAGCCCTGGAAGTGTCATGGACTATGAATGGGCTGCTAATTGCAGTGTCAGCTGTTAGAAACTGCTAGGTGTTCCGGGGGAGAAAGATGAGACTTTCTAAGAGGTCCAGTCTCAGAAACTCATGGGAGCAGTTCTACTCTGCCCCAGAGTGCTGCTTTGAGGCAGAATTGACTGGCTGGCAGTGATTTTGGTTTCAGCTTGGCTTTAGGTAGCTGGAACCGCTGCTTATAACCTATGACACCTTAGGGCAGGGGTCCTCAAACTTTTTAAACAGGGGGCCAGTTCACTGTCCCTCAGACCCGTTGAAGGGCCGGACTATAGTTTTAAAAAAAAACAACTATGAACAAATTCCTATGCACACTGCACATATCTTATTTTGAAGTAAAAAAACAAACAGGGCAAAAACACCCGGCGGGCCGGATATATGTCCTCGGTGGGCGCATGTGGCCCGCGGGCCATAGTTTGAGGACACCTGCCTTAGAGTGTCATAATCCCTATCAGTTGCCTGTTACTGTTTTTGTCAACTCTAGGCAAGCCTCTAGGCCGGGGTGCCTTTGGCCAAGTGATGGAAGCCGATGCCTTTGGAATCGACAAGACGACGACTTGTAAGACAGTGGCTGTCAAAATGTTGAAAGGTAAGAACATTGTATGGTCATTGATTTATTTTGTCTGTCACATCCAGTCTTTAAACTTGATATCATAGCTTTTATCCGTGGCTTTGTAGCTGGTTGGGCCCATGAGCCAAGCATGTGGCCAACACTATATGATGTGCAAACCGGGAAAAACTACCCTTGACTCCCTCAGGCCAGGAGCTGGATCTCAGCCTCCTACTTTCCTACCTTGTCTGTGATCCTGGGTATAGATCTCAGCTTTGACGACTGAACTGAGTCATCCTGGTCACAGGGGAAAACAAATCCTGTGGCTATAGTGACCTTCTTTCTTAATGTTTATGGTGCATTAAGTAGAGCATTATAGACCATCTAGAAGCACAGAAAGGAATTTTATGTGACAAGTAATACCAGTAGAATGCCAAAACAGCACTGTCCTTAGCGTTCGGTCATAGAACAGATCTTCCCCAATCAAGGTCCTGTGTAAAACTGAGGATGGGGATGCTAGGAAAGGAAGGGTTATAAGTGATTAAAGAAAGAAAGCCTTTATAAATGACTGTTGCTCTTTATTGAGGAGCCTGCCAGTTTGGGAGCAGACTCAGCAGTTTGGGAGTGTGCGATCTTACATGGCAGAGCTTAATGGAAAGGTTGGGCCAAATTAATACTAAAATAAAGGACTTCTGAGCTTGCTCTTTATCCTGGAGAAGCTTGGCGCTGATGATGTGCTGTCTTTCAGAGCCAAAGACAGTGCTTCTGATACCTTTTTCTGTGAGTCTGTATTTCGAATATCTCTCTCTCGTTTGGCCCATTCCCTCGAGGTCAAGAGGTTATGTCATTTTGAGGTAGCTCCTCAGAGCTTAGGGTGTGGACTCGTCTGTGAATTGGAGGGAAGTGTACCAATTCATCTTGGACGGCAACTCACAGCCTTAGTCTAATCAGCCCTCTTGCCCATTGGCTTTGCCAGCTGGCCCTTGTGAAGTTTCCTGATTGGCACAGATCAGCTGGAATATCAGCCAGCCTCTAACACACGATGATGTTTAATACATGGTGTTGCTTCCTTATGAGGAAGCCCTGAAATAATCAGGCCCTCAGAAGCATAGGAAACCTGATCTATGAAATTCATTTGGCTTTTTGTAAAAGAAAAAAAAAAACACCTGGGCATGATTTCATCTGCAGATGTGTGCTGCGTTTTTGCGAAGGCCTATGCAGTGGATTTCTTTAAATACTAAATGGATTTAAAAATGAAATGCATTTTAGTGAAAGAGTGAATTATAATTTGAACATGTAATGCAGACTTGCTTTTAGAGACAACGCGCCTATTACAAAAAGGAGGTAACTTTAATATTGTCCCTGGGCGAGATGCACAGTTGTAGGCAGACAAAGGACTGTTAGCCATCCTCAGGGAGTGCCCGCATGCACGACTTCCCTCTTGGCTCTGCGTTTGCAGAAGGAGCAACGCACAGTGAACATCGAGCCCTCATGTCCGAACTCAAGATCCTCATCCATATAGGCCATCATCTCAACGTGGTCAACCTTCTGGGGGCCTGCACGAAGCCAGGAGGTGAGTCTCTCTGCAGGGTTCCCGTTCCTTTCTTGTTCATGCAGCTTCTCTGCTAGTATTGGGTGGAAGCCACTCAACTTCCACGGCCTTGATTTCCTCCATTTAGGAAATTTTGCCAAATTCCCAGATAGGTGTTTTATGGAGGTTTCCGCTTGGCAGTGTTTTCTTCTGTTGTCCAAAGGATAGCTATGAGTTGGAACGGACTCAATGGCACTGAGCCATGACCACAATGCACACTGATGAAATGATGCTAAAATTACCTGTGCATTAAGAAAAGTCCTATTCCTGTTTGCTACTTGTGTAAGCCTATAGGCTTGGTCTGTTGATCTTTCCATTAGCAGCTGCCTACTTCACCATGGTGATGCAGCAGTTAAGCACTCAGCTGCTAATCGAAATGTCAACAGATCAAACCCACCAATTGCTTGGGGACAGACAGGTGAGGGAGCCTGCTTCCATAAAGGTTTACAGTCACGGAAACTCTCTGGAACAATGCTCTTCTGTCTTATAGGGTTGCTATGGGCTAGAATTTACTGGCTGGCATTGGGTGGCTATTTTAGTGTTGCTTGGAATTGGTGTTTATAGAAGGATAATAAAAGTCCCCCAGACCTCCAAGCAAAGGACCTTAAGAGTGTTTTCTTTCCCAAATGGAGTTATACCAGCTGATTTTATTGGAAAAGCAAGTGCGTGGGCTTGCTTCTGTCTGACACTTTAATCTGTTTGTTGAATTGCCTTTGGGAAGAGAGAGGGGATTGGAACCAACTAATTTTAAAAATGCTGTCCCAAGGAACCCTGGGTTTATTTTTGTTTGATTTTTTTTTACCCCATCAAGGATTGTGGGCTTCTTCTAAGGAATTTCCAGGGTTATCAATGGTACAAAGTTCTCCGTGGGAAACATGAGTGAAAACACATTTTCATTTCTTAACATGCTGTCTGCAGGGCCACTCATGGTGATTGTGGAATTCTGCAAGTTTGGCAACCTCTCAACCTACTTAAGGGGCAAGAGAAACGAATTTGTCCCGTACAAGGTACGGCATTGTCCACTTCAGCTTGGGGCACATTGCATGTACTATGGGGAAAACCTCAGAGCCCTCGGTGTTAGCTTTCTAGTTGAAATTCTCTGAAGGACCTGTGAGAAGACGTCTCATGTTACATCTTGCTGGTCCTGACTGTCCTCTCTTACCTTCTGGGGGAAATGTGCTTTTCGTGCTTTGATTTTCCGAATTTGATATAGTGACCTATTCTAGATGGTGTCTGAGCAGGGGAGAAGATGTGATTCTGGAAAGATAAATGGAGGGAAATTGTGTCTCTGGATTAGTCTTTTTCCATCCTAGCTACTGTGGGCCCCAGAGATTCTAAAGTTCTCTCTGTTAAAGGGCCCCATAATGCTGGAAGCGGGGAGCCCTGGCAGCATAGTGGTTACAGGTGGGGTTGCTAACCACCAGGTTACCAGTTCCAAAGCACCAACCGCTCCTTGAGAGAAAGAGGAGGCTCTCTACTCCCAGAAAGAGTTGTAGCCTTGGAAACCCACAGGGGCCGTTCTACCCTGTCCGATAGGGCCACGGTGAGTTGGAATGCACTCCCTAGCAGTGAGTGAGAGCGTGAATGTTGGAAGGCTGTCTGAGCATAACCGGAAACAAGGCATTTATCTCTTTAAGCTGTAGCAGGAGCTAGGTTTGTGGCCACCACCCGTCCGTTAGTTCGTCACGCTGTGGTGGCTTGCATGTTGCTGTGAAGCTGAAAGCAATGTCATTGGGATCTCAGAGACCCCCAGTATCACCCTTGATGGGCGGGGTTCAGGGGAGCTTCTGGACTAAGACAGCCTAGAAAGGAGGATCTTCCCAAAAGTAGCCAATGAAAGAAATCCCTATGGACCATAGTAAGATATCGTCAGATATTGCACGGGAAGATGAGCCTTCTCGGTTGAAGTCACTCAGAATGCACAGTGACCAAGGGTTTAGACACAGAGCAGTCATGAAGGCGGTGTGGGAGCAGGCGCCACTTCCTTCTGCGCTGCGTGCTGTTGCTGTCGAGTGTCGGAGCGGCCTCCTTGGCAGGCTTTCTGAAGGGAAATGAATTCTATGAAAAACTCACCCCAAATTTCAGCCCAGGGATGATGTAATCTTGGATTTATATTTTTCTTGTCTGCTTTTTCAGTCCTTTTGATTGTTTCCATGTTTTGCTACACTTTAGAGATCCGTTTTGTCGTTAGCATTGTTTGTTTGATTTTTTTCTAGACCAAAGGAGCACGGTTCCGCCAGGGCAAAGACTACGTGGGGGAAATCCCTGTGGACCTGAAACGCCGCTTGGACAGCATCACCAGCAGCCAGAGCTCCGCCAGCTCAGGATTTGTCGAGGAGAAATCCCTCAGTGATGTGGAGGAGGAGGAAGGTAGCTGCCCTGGCTCTCTCTGGGTTTCATGGGCGTGCTTGTAGGAACTGACAAGTGATGGGGTGTTTCAAGGAATCTTATAAAAATTCCAACTTTACCTCCTCTTTCAAAGAATCTTGACCTTCATCTAGATGATCTTCATTCCCAAGAGAGGAGTGAGGAAGCTCTAACTCACCAGTGGGATCGATGAGGAGGGTAAAAATGGGGCTAGCTTGAGAACGCTGGATCCCCCAGGAGGGCCGAGCAGTTGGCAACAATCAAACGGCTCTTCTGACCATATTGGTTTGGTGTTTCTTAGCTGGAGATGCTCACTGCTGTGTTCCAGAAGAGCCACGGAAGAGGCCCTGGAGCCCTGAGGGTGAAGGGGTTGGGGGCTGGAGCTGCTAAGGACTGGGTCAGTGAATGGAAACCACCCACCCCTCCTTGGGAGAAAACTGAGACTTGCTGCTCTCAGAGAGTTCTAGTCTCAGAAACCCACATGGGCTGCTCTGCCCTGTCCCAGAGAGTTCCCTGGGTCCGCGTCCAAGTCATGAGTTGGGTGCGGGTTTGTGTCTTTGTTGCTGCACTCTAAGTGGCTGAGTTCCACCTTGTGTACTTCCTCAGCGCCTCAGGAGATTTGCAGTCAATCCTGCACAATCAGAGACAAGATAGTCGGAGGGTCTTCGGTTGTTTCTGTCTGACCCCATGCAGTTGACCCAGGAGTCCTTCTGGCCATATTTTCTGAGAGGCGTTTGGATGAATGGACCTCTGTTTATTCAGTTCCATTTCCAGCGGTAGCTCATCATTCCTTGGGCTGGTACTGCGGCCTCAGCCTAACTCTCCCACAGCTAAATCCAGCTCCCAGGCACACCGTGGATCCACTTCCCTCCGAAGGAGCAGACGACTCCACGGGCCTAGAGATGAGGGACTTCCTTTCATCACCGGACTCCTCTTGAGGCAGGAGGGAGTGTAGACGAAGCCAGTCATGAAATAGTGGCAGAAACCTTCTTCTGTTTACCTCGGGATGGGCCTACGGATAGGCCACGGTAAACGTAACTTCTTCTCCCCAAAGCTGAGCAGGCAGCGTGAGGCTGGGTAGAAGAGCCTGAGGAGGTGACAGCGGCCTCTCCCAACTGGACGTGCACAGAGTGGCTGCCAATGTCCCATCGCCTTTTCTGTCTCACAGAATGGTGGTAGCCAACTTAAACCGAAAGGGCTTGAGGTAGTATGTTGAATTTGACATACTAGTTTGTCCCCGGTTTCTTCAGTGGAAAAATGAAGAGCTTTCATTAATGGTTCACTAAACATACCGAGACATTGAGAACAAGGCTCATGGGCTTCTTAAATCTTATTATTCGATGCCATCCAGTTGGTATTTGACCCTTCATGACCCCTGTGTAAACTGGCCCATGGGGTTTTCTAGGTTGTCACCTTCAGGAAAGCAGATCTTGAGGTTTTTCTCCCACTGAGCCCCAGGGTGGATTCGAACTTCTGATCTTACAGTGAGGAGCTGAGCACTTCACTAATGTGCGACCAAGGCTCCTTTGAATATGTAGCCATTATTCCAACAACTAACTTTTCCGTGACACTGGCATTTGCCTCCAAAAGAGAGGCCATAAGTCTTATCTAACCGAATTTAAGAGGTTAGTTTGAAAACACTCATGACGTCTTAGTGTTGATTTGAACCAGTTGTAATGAAGTAAACGCCACCAATTCACATCAGTTCATCTTTGTTCAATAGTCCTGTGATCTCTCATTCGTTGTTTTTGGAGGGGGAGGAAAACAAAAGCATCTTCCAGGGCCCGTTTCCCTGTTGACAGCACTTTTCCAGTTTGAAAGAAAGAAGTAAAAACATGTCTGATATTTTTAGTTATCCGTTGTAGATTGTAGTCTGACCTTTGGCCTTCGTCCCAGGACAAAGCTTGCAGAGAAAAATTTCAAGGATCCTGGATATTGTTGCTTTATTTTTAGCCTTCTTGATATGAAACTATTGTTTATCCCTCTGCATACATGGGGGGAAAAGCACAACAACAACAACAACAACGACAAAAACTCAAACAGATTTTTAAAACACCAAGTTTGACAAAACTCTCTTTAACTTACTCCTGTCTGGGTCAACTGAGCCTCCGTCCAACCTCCAAGATTTATTGGTTCCATTTGGCTAAAATGGGAAATGAAAACCCAAAACTCTTAGGTTGAAGGTAAATAATATCAGGAATCAGTAAATCTACAAAAGACAGAGATGTTTTTTCTCTGCTTCTAGTTCTTGAAAGTCTAGGTCTTAAAATGATCAATTAAATCATAGCACTGACTAGTGATAACCCTGACCTTGACACCCCGTCTCTTCTGACAGTTTCTGAAGATGTGTACAAGAACTTCCTGACCTTGGAGCATCTCATCTGTTACAGCTTCCAGGTGGCTAAGGGCATGGAGTTTTTGGCATCACGGAAGGTAAATGCCTTAAGGGGAGATGAACGCTCTCTTGAGATCACAGGTTTGGAAATAAGGTGCCTTTAAGATCAGCGACTGGTATTCCTTTGGAACTGTGATCATTCTCTACTTCTTTGGCTGTTGAGAGAGATGACAGGAGCAGGCTCTGTTTCTACTAGCTGTTAAGAAAACAGATGATTTTATGAAATGAATTTATATGATATGTTTTTCTATATAACATTTTGAGCATCATCTAAATGGGTTGCATTGTCCCAAGTACCAAGAATACTGTCGTGAACTAACAGGTGAAACTCTCCACCTTCATAGAGTTGACATTCCAGTGGCTGGAGGCAAACCAAGAAGATGAATTAATAATCTATATAGTCGGTTTAAACCAGTTGTTGTTGAGTCAGTTCTGAGAGTGTAACTATGCTCTGTAGGGTTTCTATTGTCTGTGTTTTGGGAAGTTGATCACCTTTCTTTTCAAGGCATTACCAGGTAGACTTGAACCTCCAGCCTTTCAGTTAGTAGCTGAGTGTGTTGACTGTACTCCCTTTACTGGGTGAACCAAAAAACTCAATCTAAGCTGGTCGCGATTGAGTCCAACAACTCATTGGTGACCTATGTGTGTCAGATGATAAATATATCATCTCAGTGGCTCAATCTTCAATAGCGACTCTGGGGAAATAAATTGCCAGCTTTTTCTTCCGAGGTGCCTCTGAGTGGATGCACACTCTAACCTTTAGCAGCCTAGCATGCTAACTCTCTGTACCATCCAACGACTCTACAAAGAAAGTTAGATGATATTAGATGCTATGGAAAAATATACAGCAAGAATGATTTGTGTGTGTGTGTGTAAGTACAGGAGTAATATGTTTGTGCAAGTCTTGGAGTATGCATACATGGGACAGATGGGGCTTTATACACCTGTAAAGACTTAGTCTCAGAAACCCAGGGTTTATGGGAATGCATTTCAGTTTAAACAAGGTGAGCAAGAAGCCTTTTCTAAGGACGTGCAATTTGAGCAGTGACCTCAACGAGGTGAGGGTCCATGCCTTGCAGATCTCTTGTGTAAGAGATTCTATTTTTAGTGTATTTTACATCCATCACCATCCATCAAAAAGTATTTGTTTCCACTATAATTAGCAACCAAGCAGGATAGGTCTCAGATGAACAAGATTAAAAGAGCTAAAATTAGAAAAGTAGGCCAAACAAAAGTTGGGGTGGGGACGTGACAAGTTACAAATACTCCAAAAGTTGTAAACACCAATGAAGGGGAAGGCTGGTTGAAGTCGCCCCTCAGGACAGGCCAAAATGGATGGCTTCACAATAAACAGGGAAACTTCCCATTGAATTTCAGGAAAAACTGTCTGTGGACAATATTTATTTGACTATGGAAGCCTCTTGAAGGAAGGAAGACTTAAGATTTATTTTTTACCCCTTCTAAATAAACTCTTAGGATGAAGGTAAATAATACTAGGATCCAGACCACTTTATTTTTCTGAAGTATAAAGTTTCTCCAGCCTCCAGGCCTCAAGATCTGAGCCTTTTCTTCTGTGTTAGTTTTGGTTTTTCTCTTTCCAGGAGATGAGGGGGAACTAAGGGTCACCTGGTGGGTAGGGGTTGGGGTTGTCGTTTTAGGGAATTCTGGGGTTTGTAATAAGGTCAAACTCACCACGAAGCCAGGGTTCCTTTAGGCTACTGGAAGGGAATGGGGAAATCCATGAACTGCCCCCCATTCTACCAACTGATTTCTGGAATACACAATATTTGGTTCTTTGGCTGGAAAAGGGAGCAGTTTGGTTGGGGAGTCTTTAGAAAGTTCTCTCTGGATTTTGGAATCCCTGTCTTGCCCAATCATGCTGGACAATATACTTCTGGTAATGCCTTCATTTTGAGCAGCGGTTCTCAACCTGTGGGTCACAGGGGTCACTCATTCGTAGCAAAATTACAGTTATGAAGTAGCAACGAAAATAATTTTATGGTGGGTGGGGGTCACCACAACAGGAGGAGCTGTATTAAAGGGCTGTGGCATGAGGAAGGTTGAAAACCACTGATTTTGAGCAATGTTCCACATGCATGTGAGGGGCAGGTGATCAGTCAGTGCCTGGCCCACATGGTTACCCCTCCTGCAGGGACTTAAGAACACTCATGGGGCCTTCCTTCGTTTTTAAACGTTGTCTGAAACTCCTCTTTTCACTCCTTGTGGGGCACACATTTACCACGAGGAGTCAAGCATGCCTAGAAGTAGGAAGTTGGGAAGAAATGGTAATTCCAGGTCAAGAAAAGGGAGACACTGGAGAGATGAGAAGAACAGAAAGAAAACCAAGATGAATTTGCAGGCTGCACCTTTTCTGGCACTCGAGGCCTTGATGGGGGATCGACTGACATTGTTTCCCTAGACCACCATTCTTACCTTCTGTGGGATCCCAGTCAGTGCACCTCATGGGTAGCCGTGCCACCTGCCTGTCAGGGGAGGCGGGTGTATTGCTCTGGTGCAAGCAGAGCTTCCGGACTAAGATGGTTTGGGAAAAAAGTCCAGATGGTCTGCTGAAAATCAGCCAATGAGAATCCAGAGGCTCACACCAGTCCAATCCCCTGTACACGGAGTTGCCATGGGTCAGGGCCACTGAACTGCAGTGTCCACCGCAATGATAATCCAACACTTTGAAAACACAGTGAGCTCCACTAGGAAGTGTCTTTGAGAGCCAAGTCCAGCCTCAGTTACCAGTGGAATGGGGAAATTGACAAAGCGCACCAAGCCGGTGTGAATCCCCCTTTGAGAATTCGCTCAAAATAAATCCCTGCTCTGCGATCTCCTTAGGATAACACTCTGTGGCCATATATGGCTCCAGGCAAAGGGGATGTGTGGATGTGACCAGAAACACACTCTTCATTGTGTCCCAGAGAAGTCTATTTATGCCTCGCCCATCATATTATAACTTACTTATTGAACTCCCAAGCCTGGGGCTGTTTATGGGATAAGCAGATGTGTGCTTCAATGAAGGTCGCAGGCCATTTTTTTTTTCTTTTCCTTCGTCCCTGAAGTGTTGATAAAAGATCCTTGTTAATCAGTTGGTTTTCTGATGTGGGATTTCTTTCTTCGAGCGTGAGATCACCACAGATGTGGAAGTGATCAGCTGCGCCCAGGCCTAATGCCCACACGATTGTCTTTGCAGTGCATCCACAGGGACCTGGCCGCTCGGAATATCCTCCTGTCGGAGAAGAACGTGGTTAAAATCTGTGACTTTGGCTTGGCTCGAGATATTTATAAAGATCCCGATTATGTCAGAAAAGGAGACGTAAGTTTCAAAGATCCTAGCCATCTATTACGTTTCGGAATCCACGCTCCTTGTAACAAGCTTCGGGAACGCGTGTTCAGAAACAAAAGGGGAATTGTTTTCTTGAGATACTGGCTCATTTTGGGTCTGCTTTTGGCCCCCTTTGACAGGCTCGCCTCCCTTTGAAATGGATGGCCCCGGAAACAATTTTTGACAGAGTGTACACGATTCAGAGTGATGTCTGGTCTTTCGGTGTTTTGCTCTGGGAAATATTTTCCTTAGGTGAGTCACTTCTCTTTGCCCAGACTAAAATAAATAAATAAATAATAATAATAATGATAATAATAATAAAGTGAGTTAGCCTCATGATGTCTTCCCTCTTTTGTATTTCATGCTTATGAGGTGGAAGTCACTTGGAATCTCTGGGTTGTTGGATGGGTGGATGGATGGATAGATAATAGATGCAGAATCAGTGGAATGTGTAGAATCAGACTCAGGGCTTTCTAGAAGAGAAAGTCAAATGCAATAATGTCCCACTCGTGTTTTCTTTCAGGAGCTTCTCCTTACCCCGGGGTCAAGATTGATGAGGAGTTCTGTAGGCGACTGAAAGAAGGAACCAGGATGAGGGCCCCCGATTACACCACACCGGAAATGTAAGGCTTCCCAAGTCTCCTTCAAGCTACTTTCTTTGTTCACACGTTCTCCTGCTTAGAACTTTCCAGTGTGTGACCTTTCCTTCATGGCCCAGTTTGTGACCCACCTCCTCCTTGAAGCCTTACTTCATCATCCTGAACGTAAAGCCATCGCTTACCGCCTTACGACAGTACTGCTTTAGAAGCTATGCCAACCCCTTAGCTGTTGTCCACACTGGTTGGGCATGTGCCCCTTTTCTCTACATGAGTTTTGACCTGAGATCGGTGTCTTATATAGGTCACCACCTACCATCTCTGCTCCTGATGCCCTCTTTATAAGGGTTCACTCATTCAACTGCTTATTTTTAGCATCAGATCAGGAGGGAAGAGCCAGTGGATGAAATCATTGTCTTGCTTTTCCAGGTACCAGACCATGCTTGACTGCTGGCATGGGGAGCCTAATCAGAGACCTACATTTTCGGAGCTCGTGGAACATTTGGGAAATCTATTGCAAGCTAATGCCCAGCAGGTTTGTAACCTCCATCTGAGATGCTTGAACAAAGGGTACGCAGGGGCACAGGCCTCCCTACCGTGTGGATCTTCCCTTGGCTACCGGGCTTGCTTCTCGGCACTGTGGAGGGACGCACAGTCTGCCAGATCTGAGCAGCAACGCCCTTCAAAGAGCTGTGATCACTCTTTCAGACAGACGAGGTGCTAATGCGCAACCGTCCTTATGCCTCCCTATTCATCACTAGAGGACGTCAACTCTTCACAGGCTTTCCCAGAGGGGGATAAACCTCTGGTGGATCCAAATAAGGTTATTAATGAAAAGGCATTCCAAGGAATTTTTAATAATGTCCTCAGGCAAAAACACATCCCAGCCTTTGCAAAATATTTAGCTCTTTGCTTGATAAAAATCCCAAGCTCCTGTAACTCCCCTAGAGGAGTTCAGAGTTGTAGCCATTTCTGCTGGAAGGTTATTTCTCCTCCAGCAATGCCCCCGACTACAATGGACGCCAATTTTCTTCTGTCTTTCCTTCTAAAAGCTGTGTGTGTGTGTGTGGGGGGGACGGGGACATAATAGGCCAGATCTTTTTTTTTTTAATCAATATAGCTCCCAAACATTTAAACATAACAGAAAAGCCCTTCTCTTGGCCAAATTGTGCTCCCTTTTCTCAGAAGACCGATTTTCCTGCCCACTTGTTGCTTTTCTTTAGACTGCTGTCCTTCTGTCTCCAATGCCTTGAAGTGCAGAGACCCAAATTGGCTGGCATATGCTCCTTTAAGGACCCGAGTCGTGCAGTGTGTGTTGGGGCGTGTTATCAGCTCCAGGTCACATAGGTTGCGTAGTTGTACAGAGTTGATGGCAGCTAGCCGTGCTCCTCTGTGAGACTGAGTGCAGTGAGGGAAGGAAAACACTCAAAGGGGTTGGAAAAGAAACGGAGAAAAGTGGCTGTCATTGACTGGAGCTGTCGAGTTCTTCCGACTCTCGGCCACCCAGTGCCCAACAGGACCAAGCACTGCCCGGTCGGGCCTGCACTGTCCTTCCCGTCTTGCCATGTGGGTACCCATTGGTTAGCTCCTTCGACACCCCTCGAATTTTTGTTTTGTTTCTTGTTTGCTATTTTTTTTTAAGGACAGAACATGGCGGTAACCTTCTAGGGAAGAAGGCATCTCACTTGCCATGACAACCATCTTCCCACGACCTTTGCCGTGTTAGCTGTTCATTGTGTGTTTCAGCTGCCCTTTTCTTGTCCTGTTCTCGGCCAACAGTCTTTGCCATGACACCTTACCGTTCCACATTCGGATATGAGACAAGCCATCCCGGGGTCAAGAAGCCCCCGTGGCTTGGCTTTACATGAGACGGCGCCCGCAGGACCGGAGCCATCACAGTCACCCTCTCTGTGTGTCGTTTCAGGATGGCAAGGACTATATTGTCCTTCCAATCTCCGAGATTTTGAGCATGGAAGAGGATTCTGGACTCTCTCTGCCTACCTCACCTGTTTCCTGTATGGAGGAAGAGGAAGTGTGTGACCCCAAATTCCATTATGACAACACAGCAGGAATCAGGTACGCTCTCTGGTCAGCTTCCCCGGGAGGGCTTCAAGGCCATGCTTGGAGAGGGGGGTGAACGGAAGACCATCTATGCAGCTGCTGCATCCCACTTCCTCAGTTAACCCCTGCCCTGAGATGAATAGAGATGAATAGAAACGGGACGGGGGTGCTCACGGAGGAGGGCCTGTGGAGGTGCAGTCCCTCCCATCTGTACCCCACGTTGTCACCACAGCTCGCTTTCTCAGCATCCCAAGCCCTGCAGCTGCACATAGCTGGAATGCCACAGTTGGTTCATCTCAGAGAGAGACCAATTTCAACAAGCACATCTGCACTGAAACGGCACTGCTTTTACTGATGGGAGCTCAATGGCGGAGGAAGGGGTCGGAGGAAGGAGATTCTGTGCCGAGAGGACAACTGACAAGGCCTCTCTGGCTGCGCTGCAGCATGCCGAGGGGAAGTGCCCTCCATGAGAGCAGTCACCCGTCTTTGGCCGCCCCTCCCAGCCTCTGTCTGCGTCGTCCTGGGACTGCTGGGCCGATGTCAAAACCCATGCAGTGCAGACCTTTTCTGATGTGGAAAGGGGCTCCGAGGTGGCTTTCTCTTCTCCCGCCCCCGGCACCTGTGCATAAGGGAAGACTTGGTCAGGCTCACCACAGCATGCCATTGACATTGCCTTTTGCTCACTGAGCCAGAGAACGGCTCCACTTCCCTTTGTTCCTTTTCCAACCCCCTTGGGTGTTTTCCGCTTTGAATGCTCCTCACTCTCCCTGCCAGGGAGTCGGTGCTGACTCATCGTGACCCTACAGGGCAGGGTCGAACTGCCCCTGCTGGTTTTGGTGGCTGTGACTCTTCACGGGAGTAGAAAGCTTCCTTGTTCTCACACAGAGCCGCTGGCGGTTTCGAACTGATGTCCTTGTGGTTAGTAGCTCAATTCGTACGCAACCCACCATGCCACTGCAAACCAGTCCCTGTCGGTTGATTCTGACTCCTGGAGCCCCGTGTGTGTCCCAGGGAACCACGCTCCACAGGGTCTCTCAGGGCTCATTGCTGAATAGGTTGCCAGAGCTTTCTTCTGTGGTGCCTCTGGGTGGACTGGAATCTTCGGTCTTTTGGTTGGCAGCTTGGCATATGAACTGTGGGAATCCTACAGAGGCTTCCCCAGAGATTCTGGAGCCCTGACAGGACGGGCCCAGTCAGTCCTCCTGAGAGACTTGTGATTGTGTCTTCAGCACTTTACTAGGTTGTCAGATCACAGCTAATGCCAAGGAGGCGCTGCCCAGGGACAGTTGGCCCCAGAGAAGTCAAGAGCAGTGGGGACACTGTGAGGAGAGAGAAAACCCAAACCAAGCTCACTGCTATCCAGTCATGGCTGATTCATAGCCAACCCTGAGGGTTTCTGAGGCTGTAACAGCTTACAGGAGTAGAAAGTCTTGTCTTTCTCCAGTGGGCCTCTGGTGGTTTCGAACTGCCGACCATGTGGGTGACAGCCCAGTACATAACCACTGCACACCACCAGCGCTCCCTAAGGAGAGAGAAGAACACTTAGGATGTGGGGAGGCCAATGCATTCCTTTGAGCTGTCAATTCCATTGAGTCAAGAACTTGGGAGCCTGGTCCTGAGTCTTTGTTTCCCTCTCTCATCTGATTTGACTTCCGTGATAAGTGCCAGAGGTAGAGACTTGTTCTCTGCTTTGATGTTGGTATTGAACCGAGGCGCTGAGAGCTTACAAGGAGGTGAAACAGTGAATGGATTGCAGATCAAGGTTTCAGAGTTTGATTGACTGGATTGGGCTCTGACTCTGCCTCTTAGTAGTTGTGTGGCCTTGGGCGGACCATTAAACCTTCCGGTCAGTTTCCTCTTGGGTGAAGTAAGAAGAGGTCACTGCCATTGTATTCCACTGGGTGTTTTGAGGATTACGAGATACAAAGAGTTTCTAAATGTCAGGCACTTAGGAAACACTTGAACAAACGGCGGCTGTTATGTGGCATGCTGCCGAGCCCTGGTGGCACCGTGGGTAAGCACCTGGCTTTTAACCGAAAGGCTGGTGGGTGGAACCCAGGGAGAAAGGCCTGGTGATCTGTGCTTCTCAAGATGAAACCAGAAACCAGACAGACTCTCTTCCCTCGAGCCCATAGAGATGCTGCTGTGGGTTTCTGAGATGGTGGCTCGACGGGAGGAGAAAGCTCTGGGGGTTGTGCTTTCTCTGGTGTGGTTTCCCACTGCTGGCATTTCGGTTGGCAGTCCAACATGTGACCAGTGCTCCACTCCGACGAGGTGGTTCTTTGTCACGTGGGGTCCTTGTGCGTCGGAATGGACTGTACGCCACCGGCCAGCAACAACAAAGGGATCGGCTGACCATCGCATCATGGAGGTGGGATGCCTCCAGTGTCTTCTCACTCCCTTCCCGAGAGAGACCCTGGGAGAGGGAGGACGCTGGGAATTGGAGAACAGTCCCAAGCATGCACCTTCTGGTTGAAGTTCAGCGGGTTTCTGATGTGTAATTGGCCCCACACACGCTTGCCTTGTATTTTCTCAGACAGCCACCTGGTCATGAACTATCTTTCTCGTCTTTTCCTGAGACTGAGTGGTGTGAAGATCCCACCGGCAGGCAGCCTCCTGGCTCAAGGGGCGCTTGGCATCTGGTGCTGAGAAAGAGGTGAAGTCATCGCTGTGTAAGGGGAGTGCCAAATGCGGTGCTGGATCTGAAAACAATAGAAAAATGGACTGCTAACATTTATCCCCAGACGCGTGGACAAATGTGACACCATGTTCTGAACACAGGCCTGGCTCCGATTTTCTCTCGACGAGTCTTGGCTGGGTCCTCTGTTATCCAGTCATGATGTGGGGAAAAAAAACAAAAAACACCAAAAGCAAAAAAAAA